CATATTTGCCTGCTAATGCAAACCAGGAGCTACTGGGCTTAAATGCAGTTTGATTAAATGTAGAGATATAAGCTTAACTAAAGTAAAGCTCCAAAATTATAGGCTATGATTTGGCCAATATAGTAGAAACTAAAGTGTTGAAATCATAGCAACAGAAAAAACATACTTGCACACTAAACAACAGTGAAAATCCGGGAATTAACACCACCTGGATGTTTATATTACATGGTAGCAGAGCGTTATCCTACCTTCTGATTGGTAGATTTATCCTCATTTTGATACAGTTGGAAATGAACCTGATTCCTCCCCAGGAGTGAGGCTCATTGAGATTACAGTTGGTAAATACACAGTCTATGGCCAACATGACCATGCAAAATGGGAAAAGAATTATTTTTTTCTGAAGTATAACAAAAAAGTGTTGGGGTACTGGGGTGGTCAGAGACAGCAACTACAGGGGATCTGTGATTCTCCTGATTATATCGTGAGTGGCTACACTTGCCATAACTCCACTCTCTTGACTTTAGAAAGAAAATGGGTTTTGTGAACTTGAAGCACCTAGAGGAGGGACTATTCCTGAACTAGCCATAAAAACAGTGATCATTTAATTGTAAGTCATAGACAGTTGTGTCATAGAAAATAGGAAGCAGAAAGACACAAATAGTTTCTTACTGGACATTGATTTATAGGTAGACGATAGCTTTGGGATTCAAACTCATCTATGCTAATTTTACTACAGATTTAGTATGTGTCTGTGGGTATAAGAATTTTAATCTTATTCTTCCTTTGATTTATAGGTTACAACATTGGCCAATAGTTAGAATCTTTGTGGATAGACATCCTAACATTACAGAAATGTAATGTAGAACATGTATGGGAATATATCGTAGAACTGGAAAAGATGCTTTAGTCAATAACTTATTTAAAAAAGAACTTGGAATTATTTTTGGTTTTTAATGTTAGGTTTTAATTTAAGGCTAATTAGGGTCTGTATGTCCAAATTAAAGATAGTTTATCTTCCTCTATAGGTTGGGTTTATCAGCCTCGTCCAGGGAAGCGAAAACGCTTCCCTCTAAGTGTTTCCAATGTATTTTCTGGCACCACACAGAATATCATCTCTACAAATCCTACAACAATTTATCCTTATCGTTCACCTACCTACTCTGTGGTAATTCCCAGCCTACAGAACACCATCACTCATCCAGTTGGTGAGTTAGCTTCATTGCAGATTACTGTTTTTTCAATAGTTGTATGAAAACTTAAATTGAGGTTTTGTTTCTGTTAGCCTAAGAATTTCAACAATATCAAGAAAAAGAAGAAAAAAAGTGAAAACATTACATTAGCAAAGAGAAGGGAAAACTGCAGTGGACATCATGCACTGGGGTTGCCAGGGTAGCAAATATTTCATGTGTAAAACCTCAGACCTTTTAAGCAATCAGGATGAACCCATAAGCTACGCAGGAAATGACTGAGATAATTCAATAGGAAATAGGAGTGTCTTTGTGCTATTAGCATAAAAGAATGCTTGCCTAATGGACTATAAGGCTTTGTGTCCTGGAACTTGGTAATGATGACTGATCTGCTAAGACCATTTTCTCTCACTGCTCTGAAAAAGCAATGGACATGATCCACTTCTTAACAAATGTTTATTTTTGTTCATTATATTATCTTTTCCTAAATTTCTCCTCTATTCCAGGTTCTTTATTACACATTCCTGGCGATTCCTTTTTTAAGAGCCCAAAATTGAGAATCTGATATCCTCATACTTTGTTACAGAGCTGTCCATCTTATTTATTCTTCTAGAGCCTGTTTGTAACCATCTTGTACAGAGAACTTTTTGCATTGACCACTTGTTCGTTCCAGTTTCCACTTGCTCATATATTTCAAGAAATAAAGCAACTACTATGTGCTGAGAGGTTTAGGTATATTGAAAATTGACTTACTAAAATCTTACAGTGCTTTCCTCGAGAAAACGTGAGGAAATTTATCTTTTCAAGAATATAAGTCATAGCACTTTTGTTTAATGATTACCAGGCTCTCATTTGTCTGTTTCTTATGATTTCTGCTTTCAAAATCTGTTTTCTCTCTGAGTATTTTTATAGCTTTGATCTATGAGAACTCGAATGAAAGGGTTTTACCAATTATTTAGGTTTTTTTCCCTTAATTTTAAAGGTTTATTTTTATTTATGCATATAAGAACTGGGGTATAGGCAAGAGGTGCAGGGGGTGAGAGGATTCACCAGAGACAGAGTGGGGAGCAGAACTGGCAGATCTACTGAAATATACTGCTGAGGGGAACAGTGGGTAGGACAGGAGAGGTCTGCTGTGCCATGTGGGTTAGCTCCCTTGCCCGGGATTGAACTAATGCCACAGTGGCTGAAGATTGCTTGATAGTGCTGAGACTTTAACCCCTGTGCCACCAGGGAGGCCCCTATTTAGATTTTTAAATAGAACTAATCCTGAATACCAGAGGGAAAAATAATACACTATTATATTGAGTAACTACAAGAAAAACATATCATTGACTAACTGAGATTGTTCCGTGAGTCATTTAAGTTGTCCTGCAGCAACCTCTCCTTACCCCATTTCACTTTCCATGGTTGCCTGTCTTCAGCCTTAGGCCAAAAATATCATATTCAGTAATATACATTGAAAGAGAGACCATATTCACATAACTTTTGTTACAGTATATTGTTCTATTATTATTTTTTAAGATTTATTTTTTATTTATACAATAGCTGGGGTGCAGGCCAGAGGCATAGGAGGGTGAGAGGATTCACCAGAGACAGAATGGGGAGCAGAATTGGCAGACAGACCGAAAGCACTGATGAGGGGAGCAGTGGGCAAGGCAGGAGAGGTCTGCCGTGCCATGTGGGAATCTCCCTGTCTGGCTGGGAATCGAACCCATGCTGCTGAAGCTGCAGACAACTTCACAACATTGTGCTCAACCTGCTGCGCCACCAGGGAGGCCCATTACTACTATTATTAATCACTGTATCTAATTTATAAATTTAACTTAAAAAATAAAAATAAATTTAACTTCATCTTATGTATGTATGTAAGTATAGGAATACCTACATATATGTAAGATTGAGAACCATCTGTAATTTCTGGTATCCCTCCACTGGGCGTTGAAACATATTCCCCATGGATAAGGAGGGACTAAAGTATAGCATTCGCTGAAACCCAAGTTATGAAACATCCTTTTACATTGGTTCATTCATTCAGTCAGTAAATATCTGTTAGGTCCTATATTGTGACTGATGTAGTGCTTGGCACTAGAGGTAGTCTTTAGTTTATTGATATCTAAATATCTAGACACTTACACTCTACAGTCTAATCTACAGTTATAATACCGTAGAGGCTATGAAGGGAAGAGGGGTGATGAAGTATCTAATAGGATTTGGGATGAAATCAGGGATGATTTTAATGTGAATATGGAACCATTATGGGTTGTGTATGTAACATTTTTGAGATTGATTGCAGTAAAGCAGCATCCAAGTTGTCTAAGCTCAAGAGAAAGATTCAGAAACTGATCTGTACTCTTCTTTCCCAGCACAGCCTCACACTCCACCTTCCACTATTTGTAGTATCTCCTTTAGTCTTGTGTTACAAGCTAGGATTCCTGATGCTTTTGTTACCTTGATTTGTCTTACATTTATGATTTCTGTTTTCAAAATCTGTTTCTTCTCTTTGTCCTCTTTTCTAAGATTTCTCATCTGCTTCTATTCACTGTGTGTTTTCTCTTCCCAGAAACAAATTTATCATTATTCTTATTTGAGACAGCTGATATTTTGAACACTATATTAATTTTATGTAATTCTGAGCAATATATGGGGGAGATTTTCTTCTAACATTGGTAGTTGCTTGCATTTGTGATGCTGTCTTTACATAGCTCAGGCAGAATTATAGGAAGCATTTGCGAGCCATACACAATAAAATCTAAGGTAAAATAATGATCTTTGATTTGTTGGCTTTTTTGCTTCTCCTACCAATACTCAGGGGATATGTAATGTCAATAAAGATTCCTTTCTTGGATCTCATATGATAAACAGATAGTTATCCTATAAACTTGTTATCCTATAAACAAGTTATTCTATAACTTGGAAATTGTTTCCCTAGATACATATCTTATATCTATCCTGCCGACCATATAGCTTTGAAATATGTTTTTTTGTTCTCATCAGCTAGTCATTGTGTAACTTAGAGGAGTTAGTACCATTTGCAAATTTGGACATTTTACTGTATATTTCTTACTCTAAATCATTTATAAAACCATTAAATAAGAAGAAATTATAATGTAAATCTCTGGGGTTGGGAGGAGATCATACTTTCAATCTCTTGTCTATAGGTGTGACTTTTTATACTTCCCTTTAAAAATTTCTCTTAATTTTATGTTATATTCTAAATATAAAGTCCTGGTAATTTTGCTTTTCAAATTTGTTTGCTTTATTCCCATGCAGAAAGATATTAAGTTAGTAAGGTATGATTTATCTCATATAGGTACAGTTTGCTTTTTAGCATGCTTTGTGTATTAATATGTTGTGTAGATTTTGTTGTTCAGCTTTCTGGTATAGAAAATTGACTTGCTGTGTTTATAGCATTTGTATGTATATGTTTGTAAATGTAGTATATGTACATTATATATGTTTGTAGATATAACATATATAGAATATACATAGTTTTCAAGGTTTCCATTACAGAAGCTGAGATTTATGTTTTGTTTTTTTTAAAGATTTATTTATTTGTTTATTTATTTATACAATCACTGGGCACAGTCAGAAGCGCAGGAGGTTGAGAGAATTCACCAGAGTCCGAGCAGGGAGCAGAACAGGCAGAAGGACCGAAGTACACTGCTGAGGGGAGCAGCGGGCGGCAGGAGAGGTCTGCGTGCCATGTGGGACCCTCCTCCAGTGGCCGGGAAGCACCCGGGAATCGAACCGGTGCTGCAGAGGCTGCGGGCAGCTTCGCAACCCAGCGCTCAACCACTGCGCCACCGGGGAGGCCCTGAGATTTGTTAACTCCAAAAATGCTCTGGCAGAGAGACCTTTTGCATCTATAGTGTTTTCACAGTTCTTTGAATTTCTCTACAGTTCTTAGTTGAATGCCCCCTGAGATCTAGTTCTATTCATTTTGTCAATTTGGATTAGAACACCTGTGACCTTGCTCTTATAATGCAGTTGGTCTGATAATTTAACCTTTCTGCTGTGAAAATGAACTGGGGCTAGGAAACCTTAAGGTCTTCTTTAGTCAGAAGGGGTTTATGAGTCTATGTTTCTTCCTTTCAGATGTCTTTTCTACTGTAGTGACTGCTCCAGTGATATTCTTCTTTCTGTAAAAGCATTTAAAGAGTATTGATTTTAAGGTTCCTCAGTTGTGACTGCTATTTTCCTTCAGAAAATGCCAACATTTTTATTTGCATATGGCTCCCACACTAGGGCGTCTCCATTTTACACATTTGGGCAAACTTTGGCTTCATTTTAGAAAACTCTCTTTTCTGTTTACTTGATCCTTTAGCCATAACAACTTTCTTATTTTTGAAGCACATTTTTTTCAGCATTGAAATATAAAATAACTTTCACTTAGTATGTTTTAAAATATTTCATTTATCAGGGACCAGGAAAAAGACTAATTGCAATAAGGTAAAAATCAAAATCAACAAGCAACTATAGACCAGAGACACACTACAGTGGGGGACAGGGGGAGGAGAAGAGAAATTAGGGTCAGAAAAAGGGGGTGGGAATTGTATGGGGAATATAACCAAAATGAAAATGCATACATTATGCAAAAATGGAAATATTAGACCCACCTTCCTTTCAGCTTCCTTTCAGCTTCTAAGTGTAGCTTGTTCTTACGCTGCATCCTCTTTACTAACAGAGACCTTATTGCACTGGAATAAATTAGATCATGAATCCATTGCTCTGGCTTCTTTCTGTATTTCTTTGGAAAAGATTAATTCAATCTAGACTGTGTGTGTCATTTGCCTGCAGACCTCTCTTCTTCAGAAATAAAAAGACCAAGTCCATGCCTGTCACATGATGTTGATGTCTTAGTCAACAAGTCCTAGTCTCCCATAGGAATTGCTTTCTGTGTTTATACTGAATGCAATATGGTGAAAACATTTTACCAATTATTTCATTAGTTTTTTAATTAAAAATTGAATGTCATTCATAATTTAGTTTAATGGAGAAGTGTACATAGTAAATGAAAAATGACCCATACCTCTGTTCTAAGATCTCTATTAATATTTTAAAAATTAATGTATTTTAAAAGTATAAAATCTAAATGGTACTTATAGGCATATAATGAAAGGCAGGCTAGCTTTTCCTAAAGCCTTGCATCCCTGCCCCTCTTTAATTGTAAGCACTGCTAATAATTTCGTATTATTTCTTTTATAAACATTTATAATATATATCATATACATGCCAGCATTTGTGTATATGCACTTTTTACTCAATCACTCAGAAATTTCTTTCACTTATTTTTTCATCCAAAAATATTTGTTGAGAGCTTATTATGTTCCAGGTAGAATTTTGAGCTCAGGTGATAACAGCAGTGAATAAAACAGAAAAGCTCTCTCCTTTTGTGGCACTTAGAATCCAGGTGGGAAAGAAAAACAAAACGTAAAATGAGTAGGCAAGGTGACTTACCTTTGCTCAGAATGCTACCAAGTGATTTCATGTGATGATGCTGTTAGGAAAGGTGGTCAGTTAAGACTTCCAGTTGTAGAGGTTATTAAACGTTACTGATGAAAAGAAAAACTGGAGTGACTCAATGAATGCCTGAGTGTGCTATTTTATTTCTAAAGGTGAAGCCCCACCTGCCATCCAGCTGCCCACACCTGCAGTCCAGCGCCCAAGCCCTATCACACTTTTCCAGCCCAGCGTGTCTAGTGCTGCCCAAGTGACCAGCCCGGCTCCAAGTCTGCCCCTTCGCCCTGCACTCCCACCCCAGCACTTTTCAGGGCCCACCCAAACGGACACTCATCGGCTACATTCCGGAGCTAGTCGTTCAGTGAAAAGACCCACACCCATCTCTCTGGAGAGCACCAACAGGATTCCAACCAGTGCAAGCACTGCCCACACCAGATTTTCCACCTCCACCATCCAACCTCCCAAGGAGTACCCCAGCGTCTCCACATGTGCCCGAAGTGCTCCGATGCCCCAGGCTCCTCCAATTCCACACTCGCATGTCTACCAGCCCCCGCCCCTTGGCCATCCAGCGACGTTGTTTGGGACGCCACCTCGATTCTCTTTTCATCATCCTTACTTCTTACCTGGACCTCACTACTTCCCATCAAGGTAAGTGAACCAACTTTTTTACTTTTATCTAAAAATACATACAACTAATGAATTTTTGACCTCTGAGGGTACCTCTTGTTGTTGAAAAGGGGACTTCCTTAATTCTACTTAGAATCTAATTTAGATCAGAAGCTAAATAGATGTCAATCATGGAGCCTTGCATTGATGATGGAGGGCCAGAGGAGCCCTAGGGGAGCCAAGAGAGTGCATGCCCATCCGAGAATGAGGCTCCAATGTTATCAGACCAGGTGTTTCAGCAGAAAATTCAGTTATAAGGAATGGATCTTGAGGTCATCTAGTTAAAACCCCTTATTGTATAGAACTGTATGTCTCAGGCTTTTGTATGTATAAGAATCATGTGTGGTGTTGTTAAAAGGCAGGTTCTGAGTCAGTAAGTCTGGGATGTTGAAGTCCTGAGATTCTGCATTTCAAACCTGCTCCCAAGTGGTGCCAATTCTGCTGGCTTGTGGACCACTATGAACAGCAAGAGTATAGAGGAGAGCACTTGGTTTGAGATTAAATAAATGACTTGTCCAAAGTTATAGTCCCTCCCAGTGCTCTTTCATAGGGAAGTATCTATGGTGAACAAATTTGTAACTTTTTGGATTGGAATGATGGGATTTAACTCCCTTGCAAGCATTCTGGTAGAGTAGTATTAGCCTCGACCTGTCAATTCTAAGTGTATAGAAAGAGGTGGCTTCTATTGAGATTAGGGTGTTATGTGTCTAACACCAATTGTCTGCTGTCACTTGTTTAGAAAGTAAAACCTCTCCCCATTTGGGTTTACCAACACACCTTAGAGAAAAACAATTCATTATGGGATTGCTTGCTTCCCAGTCTGGAAGCAAGTGGACTGGAAGAAAGTGGAACGAGGAGGTCAAGTCAGGAGAAGGTGAAAGCTTGATATCTGGACTTTGTTTTCTTTTTCCCTGGAGGTTCTTTTTCACTCTAGCAGCTTTCACAAGTGTTTCAGTTTAAGGAATCAAACCTAAAGAGACTCCTAAAACTAGAGGTTGAGAATCTCTTCACACTGCTATCGGCTAGGATCTGGGATTTTATAAGAATTTTAGGAAATTTTACAATATTTCCTAGTTATAAGAAAGTGCTAAGGACATCAATGGAATTTAATACATGAATAGATTTGAGATGATCAACTTTATTAGACATTTGAGGTCCACAAACTATAACTACCGAAATACTATGTTATGTAATTTATTTAGGAACACTGAGAGACTTAGACAGTATTTCCTCACAGGAAAGGATAAAAGGAGGCAACGAGGCTGTGGTCCATGACTTCAGTCTGTTTTTTGCTATTTTTTGTTTTTTCTTTCTAGCATTTTGAGAGTAGGCATTTTTATGAGTAGCTCTCACAACAATCCTGTGTCTTGGGTATATAACTTACCTACTTTTTCAGATAAAGAAATTGAGCAGATGTTGAATAGCTATATTAAGGCCACGCAGCTAGTAATGACAGAGCCAGTAGTCCTGGATTAGTAGTCCATTTAGGACTATCTGTCTGACTTTGAATTCCATGTTTGTTGTGTTCAAACATGTTTGTTTTGTTCATATGTAAGTTGGTTCTCTGAGTGTAATGACGTCTTTTGACTGGCAGCTGTTAATTGCTAGCAGAGAATCATATGGAAAATAGGTATTTTTGAATACCAAAGCATGTAGTCAAGTGGACTTTAGGCAGCTAACATTTCCTTATAAGTAGATACAATCTTAGGAAGTTAATCTTCTTAAGGATTTTACTTTTAATGTATGAATCATCTGATAATTTAAAGAACATTTTCAAAGGGAGTGCTGGAAAGTGACTCCTTAGAAAACGTCAATATACCATTTCTTTAGTAACATTATTGCTAATTGATAGTAATGCTAACTGAGCAATCAAATGAATTAATTAATAATACAATATGGAATTTTATTTCATTTAAGAAAGTAAAAGCAGTATGTCAGCTATAATTATTAGGCTGCATATAATTTTCCAAAACAAAAGACCAGCTTTACATATTATAGTATTGCTTAAATGCCTTTCTAACTTCTGCAAGTATGTATCTGATAATTTTCCCAAGGAATGAATAATCTTACTTATGCTTGATGAGATAGGTTATCTCAGTAAAATCCAGCCAGCCTAAATAAATAACAAAATTAATTAATTCCCTCTCATTTTTTCTATTGAAGAATCTACAGAATCTGATCTTCAATAGAAGAGAAAAATCTTATATAACGAATATTTTTTCCCAATCTAATTAATTTATGTGTGGAATCATCCAACCATTTCAATACCAGTATTGTGATGACAATATATAACTCAAATATATGCCAATAATGATATGATATCTATGATATGAAGATTTTATGTATTCTGTATATGTGCTCATGCCAGTTCCATTTTGTCTTCTGTATCTGAAGTAAAAACCAAGGTGGTTAGCTGGTTTAATCAACGAGTCATTTTATGAAACATATGGGTCCTTAGAAGTACTGATTCCTAGATCAGAGGGCTAACATTTTCCTGCTTTCAAACCTTAACCATCTTTATACTGTGCTAATTGAAACATTTTTCTTTTACACTACATTAATTTCTTAGTCTAGTTCTGCACTCCCCTGCCCTTTTGCCTCTTCCTCTTTCTTGCAGTATTTATACTATTCACATGCACAAGAGAAATCTAGAATCTTGTGTTTTTGGCCATTGAGTAAATGTATGTGTTTTAAAGTCTATTGCAATTGGGGGATAGAGACTGGATATGAAAGACAAATGTGGGGGCATTCTTTAGTTTGAAATATTCAGAACATATAAATATTTGATTATAGGTAACTAGGGAAGGTAAGTTCAAAGAATTCCTTTGTGGGAGTATATAGGGTCTTAATTATAAAATTTTAGGCAGAGGGATCAAAGATTAAAAGCAATTATCCTTTACCATTGTTTGAGTTAGAGATCTATTTAAGATATGATTGAAGTTATGGTATCATTGCACCTATATATGCACACTGCATACATACATAATCTTTTGCTCTATTCTAGGGAGGAGGAAACAATGGTTCCGACACACATTATAGTTTTAGCTATCAAGTAATACCTACTAATGTGCTATCTAGAAATGTTGTGCTTAAATATGAACAATTTAATACTTAGCTGAATTCACCAGAATGGAAAATTAATCCTCCTGTGCCAAAATGACCAACAAGTTGAAAACTAGTAAAGTGGTACTAGAGGTGGTTTTCAAATTAAAAAATGTCTCAACATGGGCCTCCCTTGTGGCCTAGGGGTTAAGTCTCAGCACTGTCACTTCTGCTCTCTGAGTTTGATCCCTGGCCAGGGAGCTAATGCACATGGTGCAGCAGACCTATCCTATCTCACCTGCTGCTCTCCTCAGCAGTGTATTTCAATAAATCTGCCTGTTCTGCCCCCCACTCTGTCTCTGGTGAATCCTCTCACTCTCCACACCTGGCCTTCTATGGGTAAATAAATAAATAAATCTTTTAAAAAAATGTTTCATCATTTATAAACTTGTGTTTTTACACAAGGAGAGGCAATAAAGTCTTGACACCCTGATCAACTTGAGAAGTTGAAATTGAAAGTTCCCATAAAGCCAGGAATTTGGAAGAGCTTTTCAACCTTGAATAAAGGAATGGAAAATTTTTATCACTGATTCAAAGAAAGCACAAAGAAAAAGTTGTTTTTTACCCAGGGCTATCTAGCAAAGAACAAAGTCTTCTGTTAGTAACCAAAACTGCAAATTGTACTGTACATTAGCTCAGAATCTAAAATCACCCTACACATTTGACACACTGAGAAATTATTAACATACAAATAAATTCTATACTGATATACCTGGAGCACTTGTCCTAGAGGAACACGTCCACCATCCAGACCACTTAAGATTTCCAAAGGAGAAAAATTGTCGTTAAAGATGAGCTTTAAAAAATTATATGAGAAAAATACTCGTTATAAGAACAAAAGGCAATAGACCTACAAATAGGAAGAGTAACATCCCCAAGAATGTGGGAAAACTGAAAAGCAGGAAGAGACTAAAAATCAATATTTCAAATTATGAAAGAGGACTTCTATTCCAGCCAAGCTGAACTAATAGGAACTGAATTTACCTTCAGTGAAAACAGTGAAAAAAATATTGAATACATTGTATTTAAGACAATGTTTATTAGGCAATGAAGGATAGAATTATGAAACAAATGAGGTAAATCTTCTAGTATTCTCAGTTTACTAGCCTAGAAGCCTTGAGACAAGGAGAAGAAACACAGCAGATCTTATCAGACTCCCCAACTTGAGAGGGAGCTGAGAGTCCAGTGATAGCATGCAGCTATGTTTCTCTCAAGATAGAATATTGGAGAGAAGAGAGCTGCAAAGAGCAAGAACTCCAGATATTTGATAGATTCCTTCTAGAATTCAATATTCAGCTAAATACTGATCAGTGTATTCTTGT